GTTTTAAAACTGAAAGAAATGCATTTGCTCCATTGAAGAGAATTACCACTGCTGTGGTTATCAACTCAGCAAACTGCTGGTGCACTTTTGCACCCAACAGCCTTCTGTTTTAAATCAACTAACACCAGCATAATCAGTTTTTAAGTAAGGGCAGTGAGGTTTTTTACCTGAGATTAACTAAGGTTAAATAAAAGTGTCTAGAGAACACTAAAATGTAGCATCATTTGTTTGTTTTTAATTTATTATATTATGGTTATTAAATTATAACTTATGGCATAAGAATTAAGTATGAACCAGCCATTATGTTTTCTAAAACATCCCATGGTTTAATTTGATGTAAATTTAGTTGTACATTAGACATCTCTAATACTAAATTCCAGGTTCAGAAAAGAAATGGAGAAAAGCAAATACAATCTGCTGTTTGGGGGTAATATATCTACAACACAGGTGTCAAAATCACCACGTGATGTGTTGCGATGTATCGTTGACTCTTTTTGCATTGCCGGCAATGGGGTGTGCGCAGCTTCAGTATGATGAAACCGGCCTATGGGCCAGCAGTTTGACACCCCTGCCAATGACAATAGAAATTAGACTGTCTTATTTTCATCACTTGAGATGATTTTATAATCATTTCTCTCCAATAAGAGGTGGCTTAATATGTAACTGGACAATAAGGACTAAAAACACAAATGTAGAATGTTGAAAAATATAAAGTAATTTCATTAGTATACTAATATGTATTATAAGTTGCTGGAAGAGTATCTGCACTGGCAATTTTAGAAAAAAAAATGTGGAGGAATTTTCCTTTGTTTCTGTTAGATATAATATATGCTCTTTGAATGTTTGACTCATTGTCCAATGAAAGTAACTGTCTTAAATGAAACCTGATTGTGATGTGAATCTATCCAGCAAAATTTAACTGAAAAGCCTGCTTGGAAAAAAAAATCTCCTCAGAATCCTGAATTGTTAATGACAGCTTCTTTTGCTGTCAGAAACAGTGGGTTGTTATTGAAAATGCATTAAACTGATTCACACTTTTGGTTGATGTAATTGATGGCAAACCACCATCTTCAAATTTCAAGTCAAGGACAACCCACACACTTCCCTGTTGCTTAAATTCTTTCATGTGGTCTTGGGCAGCCACATGGTTGCCATTATTGGATGAAAAGGGCAAGAATTAATTCCTCCGTTTCCTAGGAAACAACAGTGAGTACAAAGTGTCAGTCGAAGTGATTTTAAGTAAATCATGTTTAATCTATTGCAATCTACAGCAGAGCTTTTATACTTTTTCCCTTAAGACTTTTCCAAAAACCAAAAAAGAGAATTAAAGTCAATAAGGGACATTATATCTACTTATTTTTAAACCTCTTTCTGTTAGATGCATTTGAAATGGGTTTTAAAATATTTTAATATTTTAAAATAATTGTTCTAATAATAAAAAGATTATTCATAATTAATAGTCAAGAATCCCAAGAATCTAGAGTGGTTTTGCCCCCTTTATATTTATATCTTGCACTTTGTGGGAGGGGGGGAAGCCTGTTGTTTTGTTTGTATTAGTTATTTTAACATGTATATTGCACAGAATTGTAATGGAGTCAGGCAGCCTTATAAGACTAAACCAAGCAGAAAGAATTGAGAGGTGAAAGGGAATAGATATTACAGAACAGCATCAAATTTCAGAAAAGCACCATATGCCATTTGTAATAGGAAAAGGTAGGACTAGAGATAAAATATCATGTTTCTGTATAAAGTTGTCTTCTGTAGTAAGCCAATAAAGCTGATTTGGTATCTTCCAGGTAAAAAAGTACATTCAGTCTTTGATTAGGTTCTGATCATGAGAACAAAGTTCTCTAAACTTAGTCTGTTCAAGACTACCTGTGTAAGCTTGGCCTGGGGAAAAAGAGACTTGCTGGTTTTAGTATGTTTTGGTGTGTGATGCTCCTGAGTGCTACAGTACAGTATATGTACATCTGAGTAATAATAGGTAACGTTTGCTGAAAATTGCCTAACTGTCAACGCTGCAAATACTGTATATTGACCTCTTATCGACTAGAGAAGTAAAGCAGCATATGCAATAGACATAAAATAGTCACAAAATTCTTATTATTAGAAATTAGTTCAACCTCTAGAATTTTGACTTCCTATCAAAATCTTTCTTATCAAAATCCTTCCTATTGTCACCTGTCCTAACATAGTATTTCAAATGCCAATCCTGCTAATGGTGATTTATTTCAGTTATTGCATGCTACTGCTGTAGAATATTATTGAAAGTAATTGCCTTTCATCACTGCTTGCTGCTCCTTGGAGAACTCCTGCTTCAGCCCCACCAGACTTTAAAAAATATAGAGCAAATCTACACTCAGAAATTGAATAAAACAAGGTGTGGACAAGATCTGTTAATATACAGTACATCTCTGAGCATTCTCTCACACTTCAACTGTATGGGCCAGAAGGATTCCTTCGGGGCATTATTTTCTATTCAGAAAGATAGAAGAGAGCATTACCTGCATTTTGTTCAAGAAGAAATTGATATTGACTGGATATTTAGTAAAGTTTGGAAAGCACAATCCTCTAAGTGCCTTTGAGACACCAATATGTCTAAAATATTCTTTGCATGTTAGTTATTTGTTCTGCTTTGCTTCTAATTTTATCAAAGACCTTCTGTTTCTTCTCAACATATCACTTTGTTCTCTTTGAAACATTGTCTAGATGGGCATATTATCTGATTTAAAGAAATGTAAGCTATAATTATCTGTTAATTTTTCAATCTTTATTAATTTGCATATGCAAACATGTTTAGAATTTTAAAAACTGCATCTTTCATTTTTAGACAATTCATGTTTGATTAACATATGCCCTCTTGGAAAAAGCATTTCTTGAGTGAGATAATAGGAAATACTCTTCTAAACTATGTTTGCTGCCCTATTTTATAATGTTTATTAAAAGTTCCAAATCTTTGCAATTAATTGGAGGTATCTTATGTTAAATAATCTAAAAAAAATAAAATTAATAAAACATTACAGTCCCACTTTTCATTTCCATCCGTGCCAAGAATGAGGCAAATTTCACTGAGTATAAGTGAAGTTAAAAATGAAGGTTGTTAAAATTACACTTCTTCTAAATGAACAAGCAAACTTTTGCTTGTTTGAATTAAATATTTTGAGGGTCAAGAGAGGAATAATATAAGATAATTTGAATTTTTAAAAAATTACTCGTATTTGATAAAGTCTCTTTTTATCACCAATCAAAGTTTCATGCACAACAGTTAAAACATGCACATTGTACAGATAACTTCTACCATAGCATTATGATAATGTGTATATCTTCAAGCTCTTAGTGATTTGATGAAATTACCAGCAGAATAATACGAGAGCAATTCAGAAATAAACCTCTGTTTGGTTATCAATGACAGACACTCACAGATACAGAACGTTTATTATACACATTAGAAAACTACAACATTACATTACTTTTTGACATAATCACCATTCAAATTGAGGCACTTGTCATAACGTCTTACAAGGTTTGAAATTCCTTAGTAGTAGTCGCTCAGTGCCAAATCTGGGCTATAGAGGGGGTGATCAAAAACATCCCAATGGAACTGCTTCAAAGGTTCTTGGGTGCGTCTAGTAGTGTGCGGGTGAGTGTTATTGTGAACCAACACACCAGAAGTGGTGCCATAGAAAATCTCACCAAATGTGAAGATGCCAAAGGAGTACTGCTAGTGAAGTTCATGGAGTGTGATTTGACCATCATTTCAGAAGTCTACTGTGAAACGTTATGAAAATTCAGACAAGCCATCCATAACAAGCATCGGGGCATGCTGACTTCTGGTGTGGTGTTGGTTCATAATAATGCTTGCCTGCACACCACTAGACGCACCCAAGACCTTTTGAAGCAGTTCTGTTGGGATGTTTTTCATCACCCCTCACCCCCTACCGTCCGTAGGCCAGATTTGGCACCAAGTGACTACTAAGGAAATTTAAACCTTGTACGTAAGATGTTATGACACGTGCTTCAATTTGAATAACCAAATGGAGGTTTATTTCCGAATTGCCCTCCTATAAAAGAAGAAACAGAACTTTTCCCATTAATGTTTTAGATCTTAGCTGTTAATTATATGTGATTGGTGACTTGGTGTTGCTGTCTGGAAATGAGCATTTTTACAAATAATAGGTGAGATTTCATTGATTGGGTTGTCTGGGAAGTGGGTATCTCGACGGTTTCCAAATGGACTTTTGCCTAGAACGTGACTTCTACCATTCTTATTGAATCAAAGATTTTCATTTATGTGTACCTGGTAATGTCTTAATGTTGGTTAATTCCAATTTACTTTCAAAATACAGAAATTTTTGCCCAGAACAACTAATAGAACAATATTCCTATAGATGTTTTGGCTCTTTTTCATCACATCTCCTAGTTACTCATCACCTGGGAATTTGTTTTGATTGACCTTGGCTAAATGGTTTATACAAGTGTAACATTAGAAAAAGATACCATTCTTAGTCTCATCTCTCTATCACATTCTACATTCAAATAATACATCAATTTATGTGAATTCCAGTCCTTCCATCCTGGCTTTTATACCTTATAAACCTCCCCCATGAAAGTTTTCTACATTTTCAGCGTTATTAGTCACAGAATGCTTTTATACACACTAGGCCTTGATCCAGTCCTTCAGATTTTTGAGGATTTACACATAAAAAGACAATGGATAGCACATGTATTAAACGTCCAATTTAACATGTAACATTCAAAAGAGACAAGTGGGGAAGGAATACAAGCGCTGCAAAGTGCATGGGGATCTCAATTGTTCTTAGTTTGAAGGATTATTTCACTTCCTTACCCCAAATTCTAAAAGAGTTGAAGGAAAGGAATAGGTTACATCCATCCAAGCTCTTTAAAGTTCCCTCTAAAATACCCCTCCCCACCTTTTTTTTTTTTTTTTTGAAAGAGAGGGATTCAACCTATCGAATTGGCCGGGATTAGCCGGCTGGAGTATTGCCCTCTAGTGAATCTTGAGCCTTGTGAGTTTCCGTCGCGGCCTCTGCCGGCTGAGTTTCTGTGTCAGGCTAGTCAGCGCTTGCTCTCAGTTCTTTTCCAGCCTGAGTGACTCTACTTCTTTCGCTGCAACCATTATGTCCCGGATCCTCAAATCGGTGGATTACGAGGTATTCGGCCGGGTTCAAGGTGAGCCAGCGGAGAACGATGCGAAAGCTAAATATTAGGAAAGGGGAAGAGAACTGCACTGGCAAAAATAGCTTCAGAGTGCACGAACTGCCCTTCTCGGGTTACAAAGAAAAGCTGGCAAGGAGAACCGTTATATAAAGCGAATTTAATTGCCAGATCACGCTGGACGTGCTTGCTCAAAACAGTTCTGTGCTCAATTTGTCTTAAAAGTGAATTGAAGAGCCGGCAAGGGTCTTAATGTAATACACGTGCGCGGCAGGTGCAAGAAGAGGCACTCACTGTTTCCATGTCCCCAGCTCCATTAATGCTGCCCCAGTTACAAGTTACCATTACCTCCTATGCTATCTTCGCAGGAGAGCTGTTCACCTGCTTACTAGGATTAGTATGTGTTTTAAAAACTGGGGAGATAAAACATTTTAAACTGGCAATGAAAGATTGCATTATTAAACCCTCCTTCATGCAAAAAACTAGTCATCAGAGAGAATAGTCTTTTTCTTAATACATTTTATACATAAGGGATTTATCCACATCAGCCATCTTTCAAAACTGCACAAACACACTTTAGTGAAATACAAAGGCGTAGGAACAGCAACAACTTGACCAATATATGTGTTCTCTCTTCAGGGAAGGCACCGTAAACTATGTTTTTGAGCAGTGATTATGGATGATGATTGTGAGCATTTCCACAATGCTTTGGATACATATTTTCAGGGAAAGTTTAATTTTCTACTTGTTTTCATAGAACTCCACCTCAGCTCAAAACCAGTCATTCTGGGTAAAATGATGGTAGATTTGTCACTGAAATGACTGCACATACAAATAAACCAGGAAAGAAAAAAGAAATGGTTATTTATATAACTCATCCTACATCTTTTTCTCTCTAAAAGAGCTAAGTGTGGCCTTGCTCATCAAAATATGGCCCTCTCTGATGTAGGGAGCAAACAGTTAAAACCACAATTATAAAAATAGAACTAAAATGCAATATTCCTAATTTAAAACAAAAAAGTTAAAATATGACAACTAATTTAAAATGAAGAGCAGAGGATTAAAATTGATTGAGTGCAATAACAGAACCATAATAAAAGAATAAAATATTTTCCTGTCAGGAAAATAATATAAAAGTAGACACCAACTGGGCTTCCATGTAGTACATAGCTGATATCCACATCTAAAACATGTGGAATGGAGAGTACTGTATGTCTCTACATGTAAAGAAAAGCCATATTTCTCTTTACATACATCAGTACTTCTGAATTGCTATACAATTTGGATGCATTTTGTAAAATGATATGCACTCTCTTTTTGTATATGATGAATCTATGTAATAGTTCTGATTTAAATATTTTCTATCTATATGACAAATTTATTGTATTGCAATTCCATTAATTGCTAAATAAATTATTTATTTATTTATTTGTTTGTTTATTTATTTATGTAATTAATTTATATGCTGCTCATCTCACTAACCAAAGTGACATATTCAATTTCTGAGTTATGATTATATATGAAAAACTTGATTTTAAACATATTTACATAAGTGAAAGATAATTGAATATATTATTTTATTAAAGTATTTTTCCTACCCTACATATAGCTGAGTAAAATCAATAGTACAGCAACCTAGTATCGTAATAAAAACACAGATGATAAACTGTGATAAGTTTTTATTTTGCTCTGTTTATCAGTTCTTTATGATCCCAAAAGAAAGAACATAATAAGAAACTATACAACAGCTTTAGCAAAAACAACTGAATATCATAGTGTGAAATTATTTTCCAATATTACCTTTAGCCCCAAATATAGTTCCCTAACCCAGATGTGTATCTCACTAACAGTAGAGGCCAGTTAAGCAATCTTCCACTGAATTCTGTTGCACATCTGGATCTCACAGGATCTATCCATTGTTCTATCAATTTTATTTGTTTCCCAAAAGATGTTACTCTTAATCACTTTTCATTTTACAAAACCTATCAAATTAAAAAATGTCTGGCAATATTTGATTGGTTGTTATAATGTTGTTTTGTAAATGCAAATGAAATGTTGCTCCTTAGTTTGAGCAAATATTTATAATTTTATTTTTTTCTTTCTCAGGGGTTTGCTTCAGAATGGTAAGGCAGCATGAAGTACATCATCTTTGCATCACTTCTCTGTAACTTTTTTGAGAATAAAATAGAAAGCCTACTGTATGTGGAGACATCAGAAATCTGCAATGCCAAGTTTCTGTGTTAATCTGGAGAGTTAAGTATCATATAACTGTAGGGTATGCTTCAGTAGAAATCTTTTTACAGTAGAACCCTGATTTTATGACCATTAGTTATATAAATACCCTAATCTGTTTAGTATTTTATTGAGCGACATATGAAAAGAGGTACATGTGGACGAATTTAAGCACTGTATAAGGGTCCCAGGTTACCTGGAAATCTTGCAGTTCCCATTATCCATATTTAAGATTGTGCATCCTGGAAAGATGGGAAAGCCCATCTTTCATAATAATCAAGAAACACAAGCAGACTCTGTCCACTTTCCAAAGCAAAGTAGAGATTGTTGAAAGGTTGGGAAAAGGTGAAACAGAGGTCTACAATTTTACAACCAAAAGGAAAAATGCCTTCTTGCATTTTCAGCAGTGGGGAATGAAAATGAAAAATGAAATGGAAAACAATGATATGTGAAAAAATCAGCATTAGAAAATACTATTTTTATGCAAGGTTTTTCCGAATGAAATGTCTTGGTGAACAAGAAATGATTAAATGGTAATCCTCACTTTAAGGGAAGCTGAGGAAGATTAGCACAAATCAGGTTTGTCCACAGGGTTCATTATTTTGGTATTATGTAAAATTTATGAGCTGATCAGACAGGTACTCAGTGCCTGAAACAGAAATTCACAGATTTCAAAAATGAGAACTTTAGTGCTGCAAATATTGATAATACTGTTATTATTTCTGGACCCTTCCAGTCTGAAGTGTATAGTGCATTAGAAATTGTTTTGCAGTGGCTAGAAGATCAACAGGACTGTGATGTTGTATACTGTTCCTGCAGGATTTGGCTGCAAAAAAGATAACTAATTCTCTCAAAAAATAATTTTGAAACATTATAAATAAAATGCAGTGTAACCATTTGAATGGACATAATCCAAATTCTTTTGGGCACAGAGTGCAAAGTATAGTTATTTGGTTCTCACTTAAGAAAATAAATCCAGATGAATATTTGTTCAGTGTATGAATTTCCTCTCTCCTATCACAGAAGAATCCTTTATGTCTTATCTTGAAATTGTTAGTGCCAGGCTCAGAACAAACTTATCTTAAAGCCTGGCACTTAGTGTATCTTGAAGCAAGTACTGTATCAATCATAGCTCAGATCCTAAACTTCATAACAACATTTGCAGCATTCAAGTGAAATGCTTCATTAGAGGACTTTGATTGGGGCAGGGTGTCTAGAGAAGATGAAGAGCCTAGTTGCAAAAGATGTCATATTCTTGATGGCCTAAACTGAACAGTGTTTATAGTAGTTATCTGTGCTGTGTTACACACAAAACGTTTTTTCAAGCAGACATATTTCTAAGCAGTTATCAGATGGGGCAAAGCTATGTATTAATTTCTATGTTGTAGGAGGTTTTTTTTCCCCTTACTTGCTTCAGTTTTTCTGCAGAAATTTGTATAAGTAAAAAGTTGAGGGCTTATGTTATTACCTTATTCTACTGCATCAAAAGGAATCAGAAGTCAGTGCTTTTCTTTTTACTTTCCCCTTTATCCTACACCACGGGTGTCAAACTCGCCATGTCACGTGACATGTCGTGACGTATCGCAACTCTTTTTGCATTGCTGGCAATGGGGGGCGGCTTCGGTATGATGAAACTAGCTCGTGGGCCGGCAGTTTGACACCCCTGCCCTACACTTTTCTCTTTTCCCATTATCTTCATTTTCCTTTGTATTTTTGTATTTTATATTTTGATAAACTAATAAAATACTTAAATCCAGAATTATTTTTGCACTTCCAGCAATCTGGATTCATATTTTTGTACATCTTAGCCAATCTCGCCAGTGCTAAATGCCATCTATAGAACATTTTATATTTTGATAACCTAATAAAATACTTGAATCCAGAATTATAGGACTGGAAGGGATGTTGGAGGTCTTCTACTCCAATACCTTGCCCAAGGCAGGAGTCTTTATACAATCCTAGACAAATGATTGTCCAATCTTTTCTTAAAAACCTGCCCTGATGAGGCACCCAACCCCAAAAAGAAGCTATTCCATTGATTAATATTTCTCACTGTCGGGAATTCTTCCTTATTTCCAGGTTGAATCTTCCTTTGGCAAGCTTCCAGCCATTGCTTCTTGTCCTTCTTTCAGGTGCCCTCATCAATAAATTGATGTCCTCTTCCCTGTGACACACTTTCAAGTATTGAAAGACTGCTATCGTATCTCCCCGAACCTTCTGTTCATTAGGCTAAACTTACCCAGTTCCCATAGCTGTTCATTGTATGATTTAGCCTCCAGAACCCTTATCATCTTTGTTGCTCTTATCTGCATTCTTTCTAGAGCCTCGACATCTTTTCTGTATTGATATTGGAAGAGGAAGACCTCATTTTGCAATAGTTCTTTCTTCAGGACAGATTCCAGTCCATGGTGGTTGGCAGAGAGCATGGAGCATTAGGCCTTAGCTTTAGGATGTACTTAGGGCACTACCTTCTCCTGCCTCCTTTTTAATATATACAAGACATGAAGCCACTGGGCAAGATCATCTGTTGATCTGAGTGGAGTATCACTAATACAGTAATGAAACAATATTGTATATCTCTATTCCCAGCCTTCCAAATAAAGCTGTTGAGATTCTTTCAGGGTGTGCAGAGGCTTCAAGGGTCTGGATAGAGAATAACAAGTTAAGGCTTAATCCTGCAGATGGAGTAGCTATGAGTTTTAGGTCCTCCAGATCCAGGAACTGGAGTGTTTCTATCATTGGTTCTTGGTGTGCAAGCTGGGAGTCCTCCTACCTAGACTCTCAGCTCCTGCAGATGGCACTTTTTTCAGAGGGGTTTTTGCACAATTGAATTTTATCTTCCAGTTGCAGATAAAAGGGGCCTTGCTCAGGGTCACTTATGCCTTAGTCACCTCTTGATTGAATTATTTCAATGAGGCCCTTGAAGGTTATCTGGAATCTTTAGTTTGTCCGGAATGCAGCAATTTAGGTAGTTATGTGTGCAGGTCATTACACACATATGACATGACTACTCCATGATCTAAACTACATTTGTTCCCAGAAGAGTTTCAGATGTGATTCAAAGTGCTGGTTTTACCTTTAAAACCCTACATGGCACATGACCAGGCTACTTGTGGGACAGCTTATGTTAGGCCCAAGGAACCAAGAATGGCACAAGGAGTTACTTCTGAGTTATTTCTTTACTGTTGCTTGCCTCTAGACAGCAATCATGCCAGGCTAAAGCATTTATGTGCTTAACTACTAGATATACCCTACAAAATGCTAAGGGGAGTCCACCTTCGCTTTCTTTCTGCATACCAAAGTTTCCAAGCTTCTTTGTCTCTTTGCTTGCTGGAAAGAATTCCTTTTTCCTGTTACTCTCGCCCACATTCTACACATCTTTCTGCCAAAATACCTGCCAACATATTCAAGGGGCTTTAATTTAAACACTGTTATATTATGGGACCTGGGAAGATATGGTTATGATCCCCAACTCTGCTTGCCTTTAAAAAAAGCCATTAAGACCTGGTTTTTTCTCCATATATTTGCATCCAATTGAGTGGAGACCCCTCTTGATTGTTCAATTATCCAATTTGTTGCCATTTTATATTCTATGCTTTATATCTTGTTTGCTTTATAATACAGTGTCTTCATTGTTGTTTACTTTTGTTATATACTGTCCCACAGTCAGATTTTTTTAGTTGCAAGACTTAACAATTCCTTAAATAAATAACCAATTAAGCCAAAAAAGAATACAGACTATAGAATTGATACATTAGAAAGCTTGTATGTAGATTTCTCATGGAAAATAAAGTATTCCCTGGAATTCCTATATTGTGATGCATTCTTTCTTCTAAATAAATATTATTAATAAGTACTCTGAAAGACTTGTTCTTTTTGTAAACTGCTTTCAATCCAAATTGTTAGGGGAAAAGTCTGACAACTACTTAATTCTATTTTTTTTTAATTTTAATTATATTAATGCTTCTGTTAAAATTGATTTAAATCTATTTTTATTCTTGCCTTTTAAGTTATTCAAACATCTGTGTGACTCTTTAACATAGTCATATCTCTTATTTTTGGAAAATGGTCTGAATGTAGTTTTTAGAAAACCACCCCACACATCTCCAAGGTCCCTTCCAACTCTATCATTTTTGTGCAATGGAAAGCATGAGGTTAATTCTACTGCCAAATCTAAAGTAGCATAAACAAATTTAAGATGTTACTCATCTTTTAGAGGAAGACTAGACTATTAAAAAGCAAATCATATTGAATAAAACTGAAGTTTTGAGTCTGAACTGTACAGGTAGTCCTTAATTTACAACCATTCATTTAGTGATCATTTGAAGTTACAATGGCACTGAAAAAGTGACTTATAACTGTTTTTCATATTTACGACCGTAGCAGCATCCCTGTGGTCACATGATCAAAATTTGAATGCTTCGCATATTTATGACGATTGCAGTGTCCTGGTGTCATGTGATCACCATTTGGAACCTTCTGACGAGCAAAGTCAATGGGAAAGTCAGATTCACTTAACAACCATGTTACTAACTTAACAGCTGCAGTGATTCACTTAACTACTGTGGCAAGAAAGGTCGTTAAATGTGGCAAAACTCATTTAACAACTGTTTCATTTAGCAATAGAAATTTTGGCTCAGTTGGGATCATAAGTCAAGCACCACCTATATTATCACAGCTTAAATCCTAAATGCATGCTGACTATATCTTCTTTTTCTGTTTGTTTTCTAAACCAGTACACAGAGGATAAAGCTAGGAAAGCAGGTGTAGTTGGCTGGGTTAAAAATACCAGACAAGGAACGGTTACTGGACAAGTGCAGGGTCCAGAAGAAAAAGTGAATGAGATGTAAGTACACGCTTTCCTTGGTGTGCTGGCTAGCTTCATTAATTGCTGAGTTTGATTCAAATGGTGGTGCCAATTAATAAAGAACAAATTTTCTAGGGATGATGATATTTAAAACAATTCACTGAACCAAACTTTCTTCAGAAGAAAACCAAATTGTGGTAATGAGAACTTGAAACCTCAAGCAAGCTATAATAGGAATGGAGAACTAAAGTACAGTTCAATTGAAAGGTCTTAAGTTTCCATCATTATCTAAAACCTTCCAGAAGGGAAGTACAACTACCTTGTTGGCACCCTATTTTTCTAATACAACTAGTTGCTGTACTTGTTGTCATTAATTGTGTTTTCTTTATATTTAATTTTAATCACATATTTTCTACTGTATTTCTGATTTTTATTATTAGAGCGTTTATATCTTTTGCATTTTCTGCTATCAGAGTAGTGTTATCAATATAGTGCAGGTTACTGATATTTTTTCCTCCAATTTTAAAATCACACTTATCTTCTAATTCACCTTCTCTCAAGATAGATAGATAGATAGATAGATAGATAGATAGATAGATAGATAGATAGATAGATAGATAGATAGATAGATAGATAGATATACAGAGATATACACACAGATACTATATATGTATAAGGAACGGCTCAAGGCTGCTGGTGTGAATTTTCCTGCTTATAGTTTGTGATCCATTGTATTTCAAGACAGGGTTCCCCAACCCCCAGGCCGCAGCCCACTATCAGGCCTTGAGTCATTCAGAACTGGGCCATGGAAGTATCGGGTGAGTGTGCAGATCCTCACTTGCGCAAGCAGTGGGTGAACATGTGCGTTTGTGTTCCATTTGCAAGAGCAGCAGAAATAGAGCTGCGCGCGCGCCTGCTTGCCCTCCAATCATGTGGACTCATCCTCTCTCCTCCACCTGTCCACAAAGCCAGATTGGGAAACACTGCTTTAAGAGAGAAAAGGACCACATTTGTGCTGAAGGGAGATAAAAGAAATGCTGAAGGCAAAAGGTGTGCTGTTGGTGGAAGAGAGAAAGGAAATTATTGTAATGGAATGTGTGAATGACCTTGGGTGTCCAGGGGAAGAGAAGCTACCTAGGAAACAATCAGACAAGAAAGGAAGGAGCCCCCAGTGGCTTAATGGGTCAGAGAAAAAAACTTAGGAAAGAGGCACCCTACCTGATTAGTTAAAAGTGAAGTGGGAAGTCTGTACCTTCAGACCTGCACAAAATGTAATGTGGTAAAGTAGTAATAGCTCATCTAGCTGTGTTTTCTGTCTGGTTAACATGGAAGGGCTGACAATTGTATTGGAGAACTAAAGCCAATTGTATGTGAAGGAGGCGAAACTAAAGTAGTTGGTGGAGAAGACTCTGAAATTATTATAGCTATGAAAGTAGTAGCAGAGCCTTATAACCTCCCAACCTTTCCAGAAATGCAGACAAGCTACAGTCAGCCAGCATGAAGTAATAGTTATCCTTCTTACAAACTAATGAGGACTGAGAAGTGGAGAAGCAACTCAGTAAAAGGAAACACAAGGCTAATCCCAACTTCAGCAGGACTTAACTGTTAAAAGTGGAGGATAGTATAGGATTAAATGTAAAGTAAAAGGACATTAAGCCCTGAGTAAAAGGAACAGAATTCCCAGAGCTTTAAAATGAAGACTAGGAAAGAACTGTTTAACATATTAGAAGTATATGTTTTGTATAACTTTATGTACATATCAAACTTTATGTATATATATCTGCTTCATAGTTTCTACCATAACTTAATTGGAATCCTCTCAGTACGTAAGGAGAATAAATAAGGGGAGAGCAAACACCTTGTTCACTTCTTTGCCATGTTCTGACTGGACTGTGGCTTCCTGACCTGGATATAGGTTTTGTATGAGGACAGTGAGGTAGAGCCATGGTGGCGCAGTGGTTAGAATGTAGTATTGCAGGCTAATTCAGTTCACTGTCAGGAGATCGATCCTGACCAGTTCAAGGTTGATTCAGCCTTCCTTCCTTCCTTCCTTCCTTCCTTCCTTCCTTCCTTCCTTCCTTCCTTCCTTCCTTCCTTCCTTCCTTCCTTCCTTCCTTCCTTCCTTCCTTCTTTCCTTCCTCAGTAAAATGAGGACCCAGATTGTTGGGGGCAATATGCTGACTCTGTAAACTGCTTAGAGAGGGCTGTAAAGTGGTATATAATAAGCCTAAGTGCTGGTCTTATATTTATTTATTTTATTTATTTATTTAATTGAATTTTTACCCCGCCCTTCTCCTTACGGACTCAGGGCGGCTGACAGCCTGATAAAAAACAAATACAAAAATACCCCGATTTAAAACATAATTAAAATGAAATATTGGATTTGGCCTGTGTCAATTTAAAATTATTTTTAAAACCCCACTAAAAATCTCCCCCTAGGCCAGTCCTGCTTGTTGGAATAGCCATGTCTTAAGGGCGCGGCGGAAGGAAGGGAGATCCGGGATCACCCGAATCTCGGGGGGTAGTTCATTCCAGAGGGTGGGAGCTCCCACCGAGAAGGCCCTCCCCCTGGGAGTCGCCAGCCGGCACTGTCTGGCTGACGGCACCCTGAGGAGACCCACTCTGTGGGAGCGTACCGGCCGATGGGAGGCACTCTGAGGCAGAAGGCGGTCTCGGAGATATCCAGGTCCGATGCCATGGAGCGCTTTAAAGGTGA